ACCTAATAATAATAAAGAAAATTGGGTTTCTGTCGTCCGTCATTAAAATTACCCAAGTTGGCATAAATTACCCACTATGCCACCCGTAAGTGAAAAAAACAGTTCGCTTCTTTTTTAAAAATCGCGCTCGGTTTTGTGTAATTAGATGCCGCTACATTTATACAACAGGATCACCCTAGTGGCGCAGTGGCTGTGATCGCCGCACTGCCCGTGGGAGACCAGAGTTTGACCCCTAGCACTACCTCCTTCACATGCTTCCCTAATTAATGGGCCGGCTCAGTTCTAGGTGGTAGCACATCGTTTTCCTATTTTGTTTTTTTGTTTTTAATTTCTCATTTTTCTTTTAGTTTTTCCTTTTTAAAATTAATTTTTGATTTATAAAATAACCAAATTTTAAAAGTTGTGAGTTTAAAAAAGTTGAGAAATCATAAATTGTTTGTGAATTCAAAAAATATTTGAAAACTCATAAAATGATCGCGATTACAAAAAATTGTTCGTATATTACAAAAAAGATCACGATTTCAAATAAATGTCATGAAATGAGAAATGTTCATGCTTTCTAAAATAATATTATTCAAAACATATTCGGGAGTTTAAAAAAATGTCCATGAAATTTTAGAATATGTTCACAAAATTGAAATAGATTCATAAATAATGAACATAACTAACCGTCGCTTACGTTCAAGTTTTATTAGGAGATCTGTAGAGGTCATTTTATGATTTTATTTAGTCCCTTGCGTCGGGTAAAAAAAAGTTTTCCTAACTTGTACAACGTTGAGCCCCCTAAAATTGACACAACTTTCTGTGGGTTATTTTTTGTAAGCTATATGAAACTAACTGAATTTCTATTTTGCCTCCGTACACAACTATGTTTATTCTGGCGTGATAATACTGATTATGAGAAACACCACTACTCTAGGTCAGGGTGAGACACATCATTTATCAGTCTAGCTCAGACAGTGTCCATCAATGCAGTTTGCTCAGTGAATTTTTTTCGTTGTGGCGTCTTAGGAGATCAAGTCGTGATAAGACCATTACATTTTTTAAATGACTCTTTAAAAGTATCTTACCTCATCATGACATCACTCGGGCATAGTTTGTGAAATGACATTTTAAAAGTCCTTATCTCATCCGGGCATTTGATTCAGACTTTTTTTAATATCTATCCCACCTATATAATCTAATACTTTTACCCTCAAAAAATCTAATATTTTTTCTCCCGTTGCAACGCACGGGCAAATTTGCTAGTCAATTATCATGCTGTTTGTTCCCTCAAAAAAAAATTATCATGCTTTTTGTCGTGCAACATTGCGAAAAAAATCAAGAAAATTGTTAATGTCATCGGATGTGTGTATGAGAGGTGATTTTTTTTCACCAGGTGCAATGCACGGGGCACGTTTGCTAGTAATTTTAAAGTTCGCAGGAGTTGGATAGAAGTCTGCACTCCTTGTCTTGCGTAAGTCAGACTCCAACTTACAGATCAGCCCGTGTGCTGTCCGTACTCTTCTGTATAATAAGTATAAACGCATCGATCAGACGCTTTCACGTTGCTCGACGCCTCAATTGTTGATGCGTGCAAACTTGAAAGCTATGGCGGCGGAGCCATGGCCTGTGCTACCGGACCATCTCATAGAGGACATCCTGGCGCGGCTACCGGCGAAGTCAGCGCACAGGTGCCGCTGCCTCTCCCGCGCATGGGCCGCCGTGCTCTCGTCGGAGGGCTTCGCCGATCGCCACTTCCGGCTGGCCAACCGCCGCAGCTGCCCCAAGATCCTCTTCCTACAACGACAAGACTCGGCCCACCATGTACCCGAGATGCACATGTGGTCGCCGGAGCACCCCGGCGGTGCAACGCTTATGGAGATCCCGCGGGATCTCGCGCCCGACCACTTCTCATACAACACTACAGGTCACCATGTCCCGCGCCTGGTTACACGGCCATGCCGCGGCCTCGTCATCCTCCAAGTTACCGCCTCGGACATTTACTATGTGTGCAACCCGTCCACCGGTCAAATGGCAGCCCTCCCGGAAGGACGGCCGACGGGCAGACGAGAGCACATGGAGTCGAATTATCATCGCTATGCCAGCTTAGGGCTTGGCTATGACTCGTGCACCAGGAAGCACAAAGTTGTGCGCATCTACTACCGCGGTTGTAATCCCAGGGAGAAGCTTCCCGCATCTGCCGGATGCGAGATCTATGTGGTGAATTCCACGGGGCTCTGGAGACCGCCGAAGGGAGGCACCCATGAGAAACCAGCGGGTTGGGCAAACAGATATGATAGAAGCGTCTTCGCGCATGGACATATCTATTGGCTAGCCCAGCCGAACCTAGAGTTACCGCCCCAGGAGAACATCTTATTCTTCTCCCTTGATAACGAAAAATTTGGGACAATGGCACTGCCGTCACCGCTTACCTGCGAGAAAAATGATCACCTTATGGAAAAGCAGCATTTAACGGAGCTTGACGGATGCCTGTGCCTCCTCTGTGCAGACATACGCAACGGGCAGCCACGACGCTATCACCTCTGGCTATTGCGCCGGCATGAAGCTGGCGCATGGGATTTGCATTGTTTTTTTCTTTTTGAAAACGGGCAAAAGATTTGCCACGTATATTAATTAAGAGAGAATAGAGTTTGTGTTACAAACACCCCTTAACAATACACGGAAGAATCACTCTCCCGGCATAATGGACCCTAGCTTCTTAGCTCCAGCGGCGACCCAAAATGATGCCTCCGGATTTGCATTGTCAAATAGACCTGGACACCGTGTCACCGGTGGCCTACGAGTTCATGTACAACCCGTACGGAATCAGCCCAGTTGCCAGGATCGATAATGGCCGGCGCATCCTCTTCACAGAAGCACATCTTACCACCTTTTCCTTATCGCACTTCAAGCTTTGCGCATATGACCCAGCGACTCGTGATATTGAAAACCTTGTGGATGCCACTGGTTTTGTTGCCCCTAAAACCATAATCATAGGGCATGTTGCATTGTACGAGGAAAGCATGCACTCCCCTGGGCAGCGGCACAAGGACATTACTTTTGCCATGTCGTTGGTGCTGCAACGGCTGCCGGTGCATGCTCCGAAGAGACTTATGTGTGTTTGTCGGAGCTGGCGCACCATGATAACCATGATAGAGAGCAACCGATTTAATGTAGCACGACGTTGATGTAGCACAACGGCGTGCTTGTACCAAGTCTAGGAATTACTGAATAATTCGCACATGTACCACGTTTGCAAAATTCAAAATATATATGTTTGCTCTCTGTCTTTTCTAGTTTAGCTCATGAAACAAATTAAGGAGTAGAATTGCTTGACCAACTACGAGAAACAAAGTTGGGCATGCATTTGTATTGATTGGTGGGCCCCGGGCATACAGAACGAGACATCGCGTCCATGGATTTGATCCGAATTTTGGCGTTTTAAATGTTTGATCGAGTTTCAATATCTATGGAATGTTGATGGTAGTGAGCGCGCTGATGTAGACGTTGGTGCGACGACGGCGCCCAGACCGCCAGAGAACATGAAAGCAAAGACAACGGCCCTCGTCCTTCATGTTGGTGCCGGTAAGGGAGGGCACGCTCAAGCCCTGCCTCTTGAGCAGTGCACTCTGCGATGCAGGTAGCGAGTCTGACCGCTCCGACCACTCGCTGAAGTAGCATCATTGGGCCCTTGTGTCCCGGACTCCGCTGTAGCTTCTGCAAGGTCGAGCGCGATCATGACTCAAGATGGCAATGGGGCTCCGAAATCTGCATCCCCGCGGTTTTTTATCCTATTAGGGGACGGGAACGGGCTTCTTTTCATCCCAGCGGGGCTGTTATTGGGCATATTATGCAACCTGGCGTGTTTTGTGGGTTTACACCCGTTTCGGTAGTCCCCGAACCTGAAACCCGACAATATGCGGCAAAGTATGCTCCTTTTTGTTGCTGCAATATGCTTATCTTTATTGCTAAAATGGGGTATTGTATTGTGCTAAAAAATGCCCTTGTAGCTGATGTTATTGTTATTTTTGCTCAAGTTATGCAGCTGAAATATGCTCCTTGTAGCTGCCGAACCATGTACTATTGTATTGTACTGAAATTTGTCAAGTTATGCTACTGAAATATGCTCTTTTTGCTGCTGAAATGTTATTCTTTGTTGCTACTATGTCTGCC